TGTGTGTGTGTGTGTGTGTGTGTGTGTGTGTGTGTGTGTGTTGGTCCACATGATAGAAACCTGGGAGATCCTAAGCACAAACTTAAACATATACACTATTCCTTAACAAAGTTACAATGACTGATTCAAAAGACAGTTCCCCAAGCTAGAAAACATCACAATTGTAAATCAAAGATTCCCCCCCCCCTTCTGTTTGTATGTCTTTACTATAAGGAACGGGGGAGTTTTCTGATGGCTAGGTTTCTGCTTCTTCATCTGCAGGGAAAAGATATCATTGTAACTATGTACATTAGTGCCTCACATCCACAGAATTAGGACTAATTAATTAGCTAATTAATCGATCTGCACTAATTACTACTGTATGAGAAGACCTGTGCTGAGCCTACATCCTCTTATGGGCAGTGGGGACCAAATAACACAGTGTACATGAGACTTCTAGCTCAGCTCTGAAGCATTTAGGGCTCCTCCTACTTACTTCCTCAAGAGAAAATGCCAAACAACAAAACAAAAACCAAAACCAAGATTACAAGGGGCCTTCAGTGGGAGGCAGAGAAAGGCCTGAAACCTAGGGAATGGGGGTCTGTAAACAAAGACAGAAGGAAAGATGTAGGAGAGAGAAATGGCCCAAACAAATATAGTCAGAACTCAAATACACAGCTCCTCTCTCAAGGGCCCCGAAGCTCCAAATACTGAAGATGAGAGCTTGTGGTAAAATATTAGTTTAAGGTGTGCTACATTTGTTCACGCTGTGGAATTTGCTTAATGATGCAAAGATGTGTTGCATTCTTTTATGTTGCATTTGTTTAACTCTGTGAAGCTGTGTTACTTTGCCTGTCTAAAACACCTGATGGTCTAATAAAGAGCTGAATGGCCAGAGGCAGAGAAAGGATAGGTGGGGCTGGCAAACGGAGAGAATAAATAGGAGGAGAAATCTGGGAAGAGAGAATCAAGGAGCAAGAGAAAAGGAGGAGAGGAGGATGCCAGGGGCCAGCCACCCAGACAGACATGGAATAAAAAGGAAAGAAAAGATATACAGAAACAGAAAAAGGTAAAAGCCCAGAGGCAAAAGGTAGATGGGATAATTTAAGAAAAGCTGGCTAGAAATAAGCCAAGCTAAGGGTGGGCATTCATAAGTAAGGTGCATTTATTTGGGAGCTGGGTGGTGGTTCCCCCAAAGAGCAAAGAGTGAAAAGCAAACAACTTCTAGAACTATTACCTGTGTGATACTGACTGTGGTACTTATAGAGCTTCACCAGCACCGGGGATGGAATCACCAGAAAGTCTCTCAAAGATGGTGTCACTGAGTGCACCACTACGGGAAACCTTTCACACAGGCGGCCCAGACCCTGTGTGAACACAACACAACATTAAACCATCAGGCTGTCTGCAAAGGACCATCCACAAGGCCCTACAATGCTTAAGTCTTCTGATGTACAAAAGCCTGACCCAAACTTCCAAAGTCAAAGCTCCCAGAGGCTACCTGCTCATGCATTAAGCAAAGGAAATGGTGCGGATTCTTTACCAATCAAGGCACATACATATTGCTAAGACTGTTTGTGTCTTTTAAGTAAACAAATTAAGGTACAGAGTAGGCTGTTAAGCAATGGCAGGTGTGTGGTGGAGTCAATGGGGTCTATATCAAGGAGCGCCTTAGCCCAGCAGAACTGGGCATCTCTCTGTGAGTCCCTGTGGGTTATGTCTATAGTTTACCTGCTGCCTTGAGTCTCACATCAAGGAGGACCACAGGTCCTCTTTAAGGCAAGCAGCTCTTGCAGAAATGCATGGCCCTATACAAAGCCGCCTACCCTCAGTTCACAGTAGGCTCTAATAGGACTTTTGTTTTGTTTTGTTTTGTTTTTTGAGACAGGGTTTCTTTGTGTAGCTTTGGAGCCTATCCTGGCACTTGCTCTGGAGACCAGGCTGGCCTCGCACTCACAGAGATCCGCCTGCCTCCCATATAATAGGACTTTTTAAAGAACAACTTTGTAGCCTCTTGTTTGACATTAGAGAATCAACTATAGCCTGAGCAACAATAAAGTCACCTGTGAATGGGAATCTATGGGACTGACCTGTAGGCAGCAGATTAGCAGGGGCAAATGGGCAATGATGACCTTGCTGGATGTCTTGGATTGCAGCTTTTCAGACAGCTTAATGCAAAGGTTTTCTGCACCTTAATTTAAAATCAGAAGAGATACAAATGATCACCATTTGCAACTTTCAGAAAATATGTTTTTTCCCACCTCAGAGCTAAGGACAGAACCAGGGCCTACCACTGAGCTAAATCCCCAACACCAGGAAGTATGTTCTTACTGCTTAATCACAGGACATATATAGTAAACCCAACACTGAGAGGCAACATCAGGCACCCACATGATGTGAGCTTATACTGTCTTCGCTGTGGGTGAGACCTCTCTTGTCTCATAGAGTTCTACTCTGCAAGAACGTTTCCCTGACTTCCCCACCCACTGAACCAGCCTCTATGAACCTCCACCTCTCCAGAGCAAAGTCTAAAATCCCATCAAAAAATAGCAGGGAGAATGCATGGGCTTGGTGGCCTTGGGCTTCCCCTTGCTTTCAGGCCTACTGCCTCATGTTGCAGGAAAGGGCAGCAAATGACTGGGCCAAGCATTCTAAGAAGTCATTTTGGGAAATACATAGGAGGATCGCTGGGCAGGCCGAGAGCTCACAGGATGCAAGGAGGCAGCTTGTGGCTCACCCTGCTCATCCTTCACAGCCCACACCATGAGGTCCACGCAGGCAGCATTTGCTTGGCAGCGCAGTTTGAGGGGGCTCATCTCACTGTGGACCCTGTCTGCATCATGTAGAATCTTCTGGAGTTCCCCTTGGCTCATGTTGAACTGCTCCAACACAAAATCATGAATCTCTTTCACAAAGGAGGTGGGGAGGTCTGTGAGAAAGAAAGTTTGGTGTGAGGGCAGGGGATAGATGGAGATAGCCACACCACACCACAGGCAGCAGGTGCTTATGGCTAAGGCTGTTCCCTCTCAACAAAAACAAAGGTGATGTTTGAGGTAGCTACTGTAGTTCTAAGAATGACTACAGGGTCAAGCATGAACAGGCTAGGTTGTAATTCTCCAAAAGCACACAGTATTGGTCAGAGGAAAAGAGTTCTCCTCGGGCTGGGCAGTGGTGGTGCATGCCTTTAATCCCAGCATTTGGGAGGCAGAGGCAGGCAAATCTCTGAGTTTGAGGCCAGCCTGATATACAGAGCATGTTCCAGGACAACCAGGACTGTTACTCAGAGAAACCCTGTCTCAAGAAAAAAAAAAAAAAGTTCTTCTGGGAAGTGAGACCAGGCTTCTGTTTTGTTCTGGGTTATTCTGCTTCTGTTCTGGTGGTGCTGGGGATTGATCCAGATGCTTCTTCCACCTGTAGGGAAGTGCTCTACACTGAGCTACACTCCAAGCACACAGAACTGTCTTTTAAGCAGTCAAAAACTAAAACTAAACCTAAAAAGGGATGCTATCATCAAAGGGTCCGTTCAGTTGAAAGATTATAGAGACTTCCCAAATTTCTGTCCTTGGGGCTATCACAGTGGTTCTAACATTTTCAGGCACCTGAAGAGTCTGTTTCTCAGGGGCCCTCCTAATTAGATTTGGAATAGCTAATGAGATCTGGTGCCCTATTCTGGCCTGCAGGCATACATGCATAAGAAACACTGTACACATAGTAAGTAAATAAATCTTTTAAAAAAATCTATGTAGTCATCAAAACATTTAAAAGGAACATTTAATGTTATGAAGAAACAGAATGGGAAAAACACATGAGAAATTGGGAGTAAAGGCTAAACCTTTTATTTTCTAAAATGTCTAGATGTGATATGTAAAACAGGACAATGATACAATGTGTGTAGAAAAATATATTAGGAAAAAAACATCTCTTCAGCAATCATTGGCAGTATTAGCATTAGGAACAGATTTTTTAAAATTTCCTATAAAGTTCAGTCATGTGATCATGTTGTTCACATGTGGTCTTTTATTTTTGGAGACAGAGGGATCTTGTTATAGTGTCCAGACAAGTCTCAGACTCTTGGGCTCAGCCCATCCTTCTGAGCAGCTAGGACTACACCAGAAACCACATCTGGCTTTCATATGTGATTTCTAAGTTGGCACCAACAGAGAGCAAGTACCAGACTGTAAGGCTCCAGGAGCAGCCCTGCATTCACACCCACCAGCATCCTTACCTCTCATGTAGTACAGAGTGTCTCGAAGCATCTTGAACATGGTCAAGTAGAGGGGATCACTGAAGGCTGTATAGTAGAGGTCAGCACTGGGATTGGCCTGCAGAGGAAACAGGCACATGGCCACAGTGCAGAGACTCTGCACCTCGTTTGGTCCTGCATACAGCCCAGCAAGCAGCCATACTGTAAACTGAGGACCCACTTCCTGTAGCTGGTAGCAGACATTTTTATTACCCTCTTCATCCTCCCCAGTAAAAGGCAAAAGTAAACAGGAGGTCCATGACTGTCCTGATGACTACAGGCATGAGTTATACAGATCTATAGAAACAACAACAAAAATCACTAGCATTTCACTGTCTTCAGACTGGCATGGAAATGATGGAGGTGAAAGACATAGAAGGGGCCACCAGACCAGAGGGGACCCAACACTACCCACATTTCGAAGGAAGACAGTATAGCCTGGGCACTTCCATATTTAGCCTACATTTGTTTTTCTTTCTCTCTCTTTCTTTTCTTTTTTTTTGTGTTTTCATATTTTTTATCATTTTTTATTTGAATTAGAAACAAGATTGAATTACATGACAATCCCAGTTCCCTCTCCCTCCCTTCCTCCCCTACCACCCCCCAACTGAAACCCTACCTATCACATATCCTTTCTTCTAATCTACACCTGACTCAACCTTTCTGCTCCCTCATGACCTCTGCATCCTTCCTCTTCTTCCCTTCTCATTCTCGTAGCCCCTCCCCCCTCTTCCCATGCTCTCAATTTGCTCATTAGCCTACATTTTATAATTAAAATTAATTTGAATTATTCCCCCCCTTTCTGAGGCAGGGTTTCCCTGTCTAGCCCTGGCTGTCTGGGAACTCACTTTATAGATCAGGCTGGCCTCAGACTCAGAGATCTGCCTGCCTCTGTCTCTGCCTCCAATGTGATGGGATTAAAGGGGTGCGCCACAACTGCCTGGCCTAAAGTCCAAAACTAACACAAATGAAACTGCTCCAATTCACCTTGGTACATTCACAGGAAAAGAGCCCTAGGACTTCACATTAAAGCCCTATAGAGCTGAAGAGATAGGCCATGGCTCAGAGCACTTTCTGCTCTTCTAGAAGATCTGGGTTCAATTCCCAGCACCTTCATGGAGAATCACAACTGTCTGTAGTTCCAGTTCCAATGCCTTCTCCTGGCTTCCGTGGTCACCAAGCAAGCATGTAGTACCCAAGCATACATGCAGTTGAAACACTCATGCACATTAAAAAAAAAAAAAAAGTCCTAAGGGGGAATCTCCAGAAAGGCACAACTCTTCCTTAGGATCCATACTGACTTCATTACAGGTAGTGTGTAAACCAAACAAGTTTCTAGATCAGTAGTTATCAACTTGTGGGTCATGACCCTTTGCATATCAGATATTTACATTACAATTTGTAACAGTAGCAAAATTATAGTTATGAAGTAGCAACAAAATAATTTTATGGTTGGGGATCAGCACAACATGAGGAATTGTATTAAAGGGGCACAGCATTAGAAAGGTTGAGACCACTGGTCTAGATGTAGATTGTCCAAGGCCAGCTCTTAGGCCTTGTAGGGCACACGAGCCAGTCAAAGATGGTGCTGAGGGAAAGTCAGATGGGCGAGTCCTGAGTTGTTTACAAAAAAAAGGTGATTGGTTGTCTAGATTGAACCAGATGAGGTCACTGCATGAACAGCTCATGTTAGGTGTGTGATAGGCTGACCTTTAAAACCATTGGCTGGCTGTTTTCCCCACTCTGTAGTTTTTTGCTTTAAAGGATGCTTCCTGTGGGATAATAAATGAGTTCCTGCTTGACTAGACTCCCTGCTGCATCTGACTGTCTCCAGGATTCCAGGGAGGTTGGGGAATGGGTGTGCAGCGCACTTACCCTTCCTCTGTCCCAACTCAGCCTTCCGTGGTTGGGCTAACACCCTGCAAGGCCTCAGTTTCCTGGCATATCCTCAGTCCTGTATGACTATATACTAATAAAAGAAACTGAGGCTAGACAGATGGCTTAGTGGTTAAGAGCACTGACTGTTATTCCAGAGGACCCAGGTTCAATTCTTAGCCCCCACATGGGAGTTCACAACTGTCTGTAACTTCAATTTTAAGGGTAGCTTAAAATTTTGGTCTCTGTGGATTCTATACAAACATGGTATACAGACATACAAGCAAAACATCCATACATATAAAATAAAATAAAATTAAATTAAACCTCAAAGAAAGAAAGAGAGGGAGGGAGGGAAGGAGGGAAGGAAGAAAGGAAGGAACTGACAGGGTTTTGAGTCCACAAACTCAACCTTCAGTGAGGACGAGAGCTAAAACTAAGGTTGACAGGAAGGACAATGACTTGCAAATGGCTAAGATCTGTAGAAATGTGCCAGACTACAACCTAGAGTTATGGCAATGAGTCCTTAGTCAGGATCCATCAAGAGCAAACACCCCACAAATGCTAATATCAAAGCTTGATGATGGCAAATGCAGAGTAGACCTTGGTGCCAAATACATTTTTAAAACAGTCCCTCAGATACATACCACATACACTTAAAATTCAGGACTTGCATGTCCCTATAAGTACACCTTGCAGCTTTGGAAGCAACAAAGGAGCAAGGAAGATAAAATCCAGAAAGACCCAGGCTGACTGCAAGTTTCCTAAGTGTGTGACATGGGCACATTAGTTAACTGTCATGAATGACCCTTCCAATTGGGAAATGGAGACACTGACCAGCAGTCAGAGGCACTGTGTGGTGATGTAATGAAAAGAGTCAGGGTGGGCAGGCAGGTGGGAGGGGTGCTGGGACTAGGGTTAAAATACGCTGAGCACTCACTGCAAGCTACCCGTCACTCCAGCCCTCTTGCAAACACTTCTGTCTCTTTGCACATGCTTAAGTCAGGCTAATTTCATGGTAATGTCCTCAAAGGTACATACTTCTGTTACGCTGGCTACAACTGCATCTAAGGATTTGAGAACAGGCTCCTCCACAATCTTCTTCACCTGTTAGAGAGACAGAAATCACATGAGGCACCTTTCACAGAGAGACAGGAATGCTAGCTTCTTTTACATAACCACAAATGCTTTGATAGACAACCCACAATAAGGCTGAGGTGGAGCTCAATGCTAAGGAACAGCTTAGCATGCCCAATACACTGTGTTCAATCCTCAATTTTTTTTTTTTTTCAGAGACAGGGTTTCTCTGTGGTTTTAGAGACGATCCTGGAACTCACTCTGTATACCAGGCTGGCCTCCAACTCACAGAGATCCACCTGCCTCTGCCTCCCGAGTGCTGGGATTAAAGGCTTGCACCAACACAGCCCGGCAATCCTCAAACTTTTTAAAAAGAAAAACACCAGGGATAGAGATGGTTCAGTGGTTAAGAGCATTTGTTGCTCTTGCAGAGGATCCAGGTTTGGCTCCTAATACCACATGAGGTCTCACAACTGCCTTTAACTCTAGTTTGAGGGGATCTGATGCTATCTTCTGACTTCCATGGGCACCAGACACGCACATGATGCACATACATATGTAGGCAAAACATTTACACACATAAAGAAAATAAATCTAGCCAGGTGGTGTTGGCTTACGCCTTTAATCCCAGCACTTGGGAGGCAGAGGCAGGTGGATCTCTGAGTTCGAGGCCAGCTTGGTCTACAAGAGCTAGTTCCAGGACAGCCTCCAAAGCCACAGAGAAACCCTGTCTTGAAAAACCATAAAAAAAAAAAAAGAAAAGAAAAATCTAAACAAAATTTAAAAGAAAACTGAAAAGAACCCCATAAATTTGTAATGATAACTGTGATGGAAAGTAGCTCAACAACAAATCAACTTAACAATGATTAAGCCATATTTGGAAAATCCCCTTACTATTCTAGCATCACTTGGGTCTTTCTTACCCTGAATATGAATGACAATAAAAGTAAAGGCATCGGCTGACCAACTCCCTCAAAGTTGCCAAGGTTAGATTTCTCTCACTCTTTCTGAGACAGGGTTTCTTTGTGTAGCCTTGGCTGTCCTAGAACTAGTTCTGTGGACCAGGCTGCCCTCAAACTCAGATATCAGCCTGCCTCTGCCTCCTGAGTGCTGGGATAAAAAGCGTGTGCCACCACCACCTGGCTGCCAATGTTAGATTTCTATTTTCAAGCTGTCCGAGTATTCAGACTCCAGTTCTGCTCAGCTACCAAGTACAGTTATGAGAAAGATTCATGCAATATAATCCTCTCCTAGACATCAAGAACTTTAGACACTGATGGCTCCTGGGACAGCAGCTCACTGGTTCTTCTCTGTACTGTAGTTAAGCTTGAGCATACATAATACATGCTCCATAGAGACAGGATTTTATTATGTAGCCCTGGCTGGCCTCAAACTCACAGAAATTCTACCTCTACTTCCCTGGTGCTGGGATTAAAGGTATGTACCACATTCTACCTTATTTTAGTTTTTGTTTTTGAGACAGGGTCTTACTCTATAACCTTGAACCTTACTGCAATCTTCCTCTAAAGATCCACTTATTTCAGCACACAAACAGTGGCACCAAAGCCTCCTGTGATGTCACCTCAGAGGCTGCACAAAAAACTCAAATTAGAAAAACTCAGGTTTTACATTAACACAACTCCTCCGAGTAAATCAAATGCAAAGGAAAGGCACTGATTGTTGTAGAGTCTCAGAGCTTGGACTGAGCCTGTTCCTGTCCTGGATCTGCATACTCTTGAGGTACTTGACACTGGCCTCTTCTCAATGGAAGTGTAGGACGCCGCCTCTCCCACATACTCAGGGTAAGGTTTAAATGAAAACGTACTAGAGAATGTGTCCTGAGTGAATGTGCTCAAAGCCAAAAGCAACCGTCATCCAGTTGAGTTCACCTATGCCCCCACACCCCATAAAAGATCATCCCAGAATGACTGGCTTATTGTCCACAACCATCCCCCAGAAGCTTCGAGTAGGGCACAGGATTCTCCACAAAGTACCTGCTGCTCCTACCGCCTGGTGATGCTACACATGGCTATGGAAGGGGCTAGAGCATGTAGAGACTGGAAAAGCCTGGGGGGCGGGGAGCCCTCACTAGTACTGGGTAAGGCTTTCCAGATGTGCTGAGTGGGGAGGGGTGTCCGAACCCCTCTAAGGAACCCCTAGACCCCATCTAGGCTCTAGAGAGATACCCAATAAATTCACTGGTTTTCTAGAGTGAATTTTGGAGGAATTCTGCCTCAGTTTGTCCTTGGGACCTGGGGAGACATAGACACTGCTTTATCTCTCTCCTAGGGAAAGGCTTTTACTCTCCTTCCCTCTGTAATTTGTCAGTTCTTTACATAATTACATAATAGACATCTATTGTACCCGGAAATGAATGCCCTATGCTAAAAATCTGAAATCCCAAATGTTCCCAAATCCAAACTATTTTTACAACAATATTGCTCTAAGTAGAAAATTCCACATCTGACAAAATTATTCAAGACACTGCATGAGCCCGGCATAGGAGGCAGCCTGTGGTCCAGACACACACAAGGCCAAGACAGGAGGATCTCTTGAGCTCAGATGTTTGAGTTTGGCCTGGGCAACAGAGAAAGACTGTTCCAAATAAAAGAAAATAAAGCTATAAAACCTTCTATAACCTTCTATATGTGTAAGGTGCATGGATAGGAAGAACAAATGAGGGTGGAGAGATGGCTCGGAGGTTAGGAGCACTGGCTGCTTTCTTCCTCCAGAGGTCCTGAATTCAATTCCCAGCACCCACATGGTAGCTCACAACCATCTGTAATGGGATCTGATGCAATCTTCTGCCATGTTGATACAGCACTCATATATATAAAATAAATAAATCTAAAACAAGAACAAATGAATTTCATGTTTAGATGAGGGTTTCATTCTAAGATATCTCATTATACATAGGAAAAAATTTAAAAATCTGTAAATGACCCCAAATCCTAAATATTTTGGGTACCAAGCATTCTGAATGAGAGATATTCAACATATAAATAAAAATTAGAGGTTTCTGAAGGGCCTAGTGACACAAATCTGTACTCCTAGCTACTTGGGAGGCTGAAACAGGAAGAACTGCAGTTCAAGGCCTGGCTGGGTAAAATGGCTGAGACCCTGTTTCAAAATTAAAAGTGTGTAGTTTTTGTTTTTGTTTTAAGCCTAGGAATATGGCTCATTGATAGTGATTCAACCCCAGTAACATGATAGCCTGGCATAGTAATGCATGTTATCTTAGCACTCAGGAGGTGCAGGCAGGAGGACTGTCAGTTCATGGCCAGCCAGAGCTACACTGCTCTCAAGGATAAACAGCAGCAAGAGTCTGCTGCCTGATTGTCCTGTGGTCTATTAACTATCACAGCTTGCTTACCAAGGTTAAGAGTTCCCGAAGCATTTCCAGTGGAATACTAAACTCCTTATAGGTGATGCCATTGAACAGGGGGGAGACAGAAAAGCTGGAGCTGATGGTGGAGAAGTAGTACTCAGGCTCCAAGGCAGTCCCGTCAGGCAGGCAAGAGGCTGTTAGGAGAAAACAAAGCAAAACAAAAAGACATGACCGACCCAGATAATTCCCATAACCAACATTGTTGTGGATTATCATCTTTAGATGTGTTACATTTGTTTATGCTGTGGAACATTTGTTTAATGATGTAAAGGTTTGCTGCATTCTTTTAGGTCACATTTGTTTAACTCTGTGAAGCTCTGTTACTTTGCCTGTCTAAAACACCTGATGGTCTAATAAAGCACTGAATGGCCAATAGCGAGGCAGGAAAAATGATAGACTGGCAGGCAGAGAGAATAAACAGAAGAAGAAAAAGAGAAGAGGGAGGAGTGATAAAAGGAGGAGAGGAGGACTTCAGGGACCAGCCACACAGCAAGTCCTGGAGTAAGAAGTAAAGAAAGATAAAAGTCCAGAGGCAAAAGATAGATGGGATAATTTAAGTTAGAAAAGCTGGCTAGAAATAAGACAAGTTAAGACAGGGCATTCATAAGAAAAAATAAGTCTCCATGTATTTATTTTGGAGCTGGGTGGGGGGGCCTCCAAAGAGTTAAAAAAAAAAAACCTACTATACAACATAGCTGTACATATTGTCTTTGTTGATACCACAATTCCTTTTTACCCCTGCTTCTCTGCACTCACAGCTGCTCTCTTCTTCAGCCGCCCAAGTGTTGAGATTACAGGAGTGCACCCACAGCTGTCCCTGCTTTTGAGAGGGGGGGTTATCCTGGCTCCTATTTTGAGGGCACAATCCATGACAGTGATGACAGTGTGGCAGTGGAAGTCATGGTGTAGAAAGCTCCGGTATGCTTGATCACATCTGGGAGAGAGATGTACGTCTATTCTATTCTTTTTTTTTTTTTTAAGACTTATTTATTTATTATGAATACAACATTCTGCTTCCATGTATATCTGCACACCAGAAGAAGGCACCATATCTCATTACAGATGGTTGTGAGCCACCATGTGGTTGCTGGGAATTGAACTCAGGACCTTTGGAAGAGCAGTCGGTGCTCTTAACCTCTGAGCCATCTCTCCAGCCCGATAGCTCAGTCTTAATTATCATAAATCTAAATATTTTATAAGACTTATCAGACACCAGCAGAAGTGTCCTATCATCCTGGGCTCACATGGTGACTCTGAGCTTTCTCCTACCTTTCCCAGAATCCTCCTTGACTCCTAGTCAAATGGCTGTGAACTACCGTGTGGATGCTGGGACATGAACCCAGATCCTCTGCAAGAGCAACAAATGCTCTAACCACTGAGCCCCCTCTTCAGCCCCTAAAGGCTTTCTTGTATAAGTTGAATGGTGTCTCTTCACAGCAACAGAACAGTGACTATACTGTTAACTTTACACGTCTCTAAAAAAGTCACATAAGGATCAATATGGACCCCAAAGTAAATAATAGATCAAAAAGTCATTTTTTTATTTTAATTATGTATATGTGTGTGAGTATATGCACACGAATGCAAAATGCCCACAGAGGTCCCAGGTGTCAGATCCTCCAGGAGCTGGAGTTACACACAGCTGTGAGCAACCTGATGTGAGTGCTAGGAATCGAACTCAGGTCCTTGGGAAGAGCAGTATGTGCTCTCAGCCACTGAGCCATTCTCCAGCCCCTAAAAAGGCATGATTAAAACATTTTATCTGAAAACTATCATTAGGAAATAAGGAAGTCTAATATTGTCATATTAAGCAATGACAGACAGCCCAGAGTGGTGGCTTATATCTATTGTTCCAGCTATTTGGGAGGGAGAGACAAAAAAATTACAAGTTCCAGGCCAGCATGGGCTATACTATAAGACCACATCTCTTAATAAGCAAAAGGCCTGGGAAGCAGCTCAGTCATAAGCATGCTGGCTGAGTCCCCAATACCACAAAAATAAATAAATAAGTCATGACAGACAATACCAGTCTATGAAGAACCTAGTAACCTATTTGACTTCTCCAGTACGAGAGCACAGAGGCAGGTGAGGGCTAGACAAAGTGTAACTACAACTCTGGTAGTACACTGGCTCTAAGGACAGACGCCAACCAGCAACAGAAGGGGGAGCCTGAGATGGAACCTCGTGACAAATGGGGAAAGAAGGGAGAGAACTGTGGTTTAAAGGAATTTGGTCATGGTGAACTTGGAGAGGTTGTCACCTGGCAGCAGATACTTCTCAGACACACATCGGCAAAAGAAAAGGGCCCTATGTACGAGCTGGTGTACGGGTCAGACAGAGGCAAAAGCCAGGAACAGCAAGGACCAAGAACCTAAGAACTAGGATTTACATATTTACAGAGCTGGGTGTGGTGACACATGCCAGTAATCCCCAAATTTGTGAAGCAAAGGTAGGAACATAGCTACAAATTCAAGGCCAGCCCGCTCTACCTGGCTAGATCATGTCTTGGGATAAAAAAATAAATGGAATTAACACTGGGAGCTATCACTGCAAATTGTACTTAAAAAAATAATTATTTCACCTGTTGATGGTGGCACATGCCTTTAGTTCCAGTACTTGGGAGGCAGAGGGCAAGTGGATCTCTGTGAGTTCAAGACCAGCCTGGTCTATGATTGAATTCCAGGACAGCCAGGACTACACTGAGAAAACCTGTCTCAAAAAAAAAAAAAAAAAAAAAAAAAAAAAAAAAACCAGCCAACAAACAACAAACAAGCAAAGTCCTAGGTTTCACCTGTAATAGTGAGAGTCGGGTGGTTTGAATGAGAATGGCCCCCACAGATTCATATTTGAATGACTGGCTCCCAGTTGGTAGAACTGTTTAGAAAGAATTAGGACATGCAGCCTTGTTGAAGGCAGTGTGTTACTGGGAATGGGCTTTGAGGTTTCAAAAGTCCATATCAGCAGCAGGCCCAATCTCTCTCTCTCTCTCTCTCTCTCTCTCCGACTCCCCCTTCCTTCCTCTCTCTCTCTCTCTCTCTCTCTCTCTCTCTCTCTCTCCCTCCCCCTCCTCAATCTTCTTGGCCTTTGGATCAAGATAGAAGCTCTTAACTACTGCTGCAGTGCCATGCCGGCCCACTAACGCCATGCTTCCTGCTATGATGATGATGGACTAACCCTCTGAAACCGCAAGGAAGCCCCAATTAAGTGCTTTCTTTTATAAGTTACCTTGGTCCCACAGCCCACAGCCAAGAGAACAGTAACACACACACACACACACACACACACACACACACACACACACACACACAGTGGGGCGAAATTAAAGTGAAAACAGAAATAAAAGCTCACCACTCTAAATGCATGATGACAGAGGTCAGTCCCAGCATCCTTCACACTACAGAAATCACGGAGGATCTGCTATCTGATACTGGATTGATTAATACTTATGGCACCCAAGTGAAACCTACCTTCAAAGTAGTGAAAGGCAGAGCCTCCAGGAGAGCTGGGAGGGGGCATGCCACGCTCTGGGCTAACCTGAAAGCCAAAGGCACAGATCAGAAAAGGCTCCCGAGAACCCATCTCTCATCTCAGAGGGTCTCTCTGCCAACCTGCTATCCACAGTTGAAGATCAACATCACAGCCTTACCTCTTCACTCAAGTCTACTGCTGTATATTGTAATACCAGTAACTATATATTTTGTATTTGTTTACTAAGGTGAATCTATCTTCCACTTTCTTTGGGGGACAAAGTCTTGCTACCTCTCAATGGCCAGAATGGAACTAGCTATGCAGACCAGGTTGGGCTCTTCCTGAGCACTGGGATTACAGGTGTGCAGCCCCACACCCAGCTTGAGCTGAAGTTTTTTCAATACACACATACATACATGCACATTTGCATGCATGTGGGGGTCTTGAGGAGAATGGTGTTAGCTATAGAATGGCAGGGTCTTATGCATATGAAGCTACACCTTACTCCTTGCTATGGACCACAACCTAGCTTCAATCTTATGATTCTTTACTTCAGCTTGATGAGCACTGGGACTGAAGGTATGTGCCATGAAGCCCAGAACAATTACAACTTCTTTATTTTATTTTCAAAAGATAATAATTTTTTATTCATTATTTCTACATAGGTTGAGTGCCTGTCTGAGTTTATTTGTACCATGTATTCAGAGGAGCTCCTGAAATCTGAAAGAGAAGATCAGATTCCCAGGAACTGGTAGTTACAGGCAGTAGTGAGCCGCCTGACATAGGTTCTAGAAACTAGACCCAGGTCAAATGCAAGAACAGTAAGCACTCTTAACCTTGGAGGTCCAATTATATATTATTTTGCTGGTGTGTGTGTGTGTGTGTGTGTGTGTGTGTGTGTGTGTGTGTATGTGTGTATGTTTCATACAAGTGTACTTGTGTGTATGGGGGTTATCTGCTGGAAAGACATCCATTTTCTTTGAGACAACATCTTTCACTGGCCTAAAGCTTACCAATGAAGCTCAACTGGCTAGCCAGTCGGCACAGGGACCCTGTTCCAGGTTTACAAGCATATACTACACACATTCAGTGTTTCCTTTTGTGTGTGTGGGAGGGGGGGAGGCTGAAATGTTATATTCTTTTTTTTTTTTTTGCAGATTTTTTTTATTTGAATTAGAAACAAGATTGTTTTACATGACAATCCCAGTTCCCTCTCCCTCCCGTCCTCCCTTACCACTCCCCCCAACTAAAACCCTATCATCACATATCCTTTCTGCTCCCCCTGGATGGTGAGGCCTTCCATAGGGTATCATCAGAGTCTATTGTATCCTTTGGGATAGGGCCTAGGCCCACCCTCGCGTGTCTTGGCTCAGGGAGTATTCCTCTATGTGGATGGGCTCCCAAAGTCCACACCTATGCTAGGGATAAGTACTGAACTACTACAGGAGGTCCTGTAGATTTCCAAGGTTTCCTCACTGAAACCCACATTCCTGGGGTCTGGATCAGTCCCATGCTGGTATCCTAGCTATCAGTCTGGGGAACAAGAGTTCCCTAATGTTCAGGTCAGCTGTTTCTGTGGGTTTCACCAGCCTGGTCTGGACCCCTTTGCTCTTCACTTGTCCTTCTCTGCATCTGGATTCCAGTTCAGTTCAGTGATTAGTTATGGGTGTCATGAGGTTTTTTTTCCTCAGTCTGTTTATATGGTGGATTACATTGATGGATTTTCATATATTGAACCATCCTTGTATCCCTGGGATGAAGCCTACTTGATCATGGCACACACAGTGTATTTCTTAAGTTCTGGGGACTGAACTTGTTTTCTAATGTTTGCAAGCAAGCACTTAACAAACCAGTCATCGTCCTAGCTCTCAATTACATACTGTTTTTAATTTAATTTTTTATTTTTATTCAGTATTTTTATGTAGATGGGTATTTTGTCTGCATGTATGTCTGTCTGAATACCACATATGTGCTAGATGTCCCCAGAGGCTAGAAGAGGGTGTTAAATCCCCTGAACTGGAGTTAAAGATGGTTGTGAGCTACAACGTGGACGCTGGGAGCCTTTCAATTACATACTTCTTGCAGGCATCAACTATCTCAGAATAAAGTCTGAGGGATGGTAACATTGCTTAGTTGCTAAAGGACTGGTTACCTCGTAGGAAGCCATGGGCTCAATTCTCTGGTGCTATTCAATGTGACTACATCTGGAATTAACTGTATCCCAAGAAGTTGGGTACATCCATGAGAGATTTTTTTGTTGTTGTTTTAAGAGATGGGATTTCTCTGTATAACATCCCTGGCTGTCCTGGAACTTGCTTTGTAGACCAGGCTAGCCTGAAACTAACCGAGATCCACCTGCCTTTACCTCCCTAGTGCTGGGATTAAAGGCGTGCACTACCATGACCATCAAGATTTTTTTTTCTTAATTAAACTATTTGAAATAAGAAGACCTACTTTTAATCCAGATCTTTGAGGTGGGAAGATCCAACTTTAATCTGGACATGGGAGAAGGAAGCTTGCTCTCTTTGCCTGCTTGCTCTCACCCTTGCTGGCAAGGCCATTCCTTCAGTGGCATCACAGTCTACTTCTTAAGTGGTATATATTCTGGTATATAACAGTCTATACCAGTCTCATAGACTGAATAACTACTTGACTCTTGGACCTTCAGCTAGTAAACAGCCACAGTTGGACTAGCTAGACCACAGCCTGAAAACTATCTTAATAAATTCCCTTTGTATATATGCATATAGATCATTCTCTCAGTTCTGTTCCTTTAAAGAACCCTAGCACTACATAGGGTGGCATATATTTAATCCTAGCATTAGGGTGATAAAAACAAGAGGATCAAGTTCAAGGTCATTCTCAGCTACATGGCAACTTTGAGGCCAACCTAAGCTACATGTCTCAAAAATGAAACAACAAATAAAGCCCCACCAGGAGCAGAGTTTGCAACAAAGAATTTCACAACTATGAATCACTGACAACTGTAAAAAGAAGCCTGGTAAGGCAACATTCTCCTGTATTCTCAGCATTTAGGAGGCACAGACAGAAGTGTGAGTTTGAGGTTAGCATGTATGTAGCAAGATCCTCTCAAGAAACTATTTGTCTTGATGTAAAAAGCCCTAGGGGGTTGAACTCTGGTACAAATAAGTTTAAAAAGCCAGGTATGTTGGTGTATCCTTGGAATTTCAGCACTGAGGAGGCTGAGGTAGGAGGATCAGTGTAAGATTGAGGGCATCCTAGTCTGCGGAGTGACTATACCAAGTTAAAAAAAAAAAAATCTTAAAAGGAATCAGTCTGAAGCAAGCACAGTGGTTCATATCTGTAATCCTAGCACTCAACAGAGTAAGGAAGGAGGGCCAGAAGTTTTAGGCCACCTGAGTCACAGTGAGTTCCAGCAAGACCCTGTCTCAGATATAGAAAAAGGGGACAGGTCATTTTATTCTAACAGGAATTCTAACGAGAACCTCAAATTGCACACAATGTCTCTTTGCATGAACACTTACTAAAGTTCTTCCCAAGCCCTCCCCTGGGAACCCAGCCCCACCTGAGAGATGCTAGACACACTGCTGGTTTTCCTCTTCAGTGTGCCCTCCTGACACACAGTCAGCAGGTTGCTGGGTAGGATGGAGCGGAAGTCATTAAAGGAACGCCTTCGGACACCTTCCAGTTCCTCTGGGATTCTCAGGGAATGAGGAGGGACTTTGGGAAAGAGCTTGGAGAGAAGAGATTCTTCTGAATTGCTGTAACGCCCAAATGATCTCGAAATTCCTATCAGGCATGGGATTGCATACTTGCAAAGGTACTCTAGAAGACCAAGTGAGAGCCATAACACAGGAGTTACTTACGACAGCCACACTGTAATTTGCACTACTAACTAACATTTTACAACCCACTGTGAAGGCTGAGCATAAGTCATAGTTACAGGGTTAATCCAAGGGTTAACTGATGACATTTTCAATCTGTCATTACCAGTAATGTCAGACTGTATCTCTATCACATTTGCTTTCCTTGGGAAGTCTTGATCTGTTCATGGCACATTTAATCAGTAATAGAGAGGACTCATGCTTAGGTACTGTGACCACAGCCAATTACATTGACTGGCCTGTTTATACTATGGGAAAAGTGACCTATAGAAGTCAACTAAACTACTCCCCATATTATACTGGGTAAAATAGAGACTAGGTAGAGTCAAGATGCTTGTCAAGGATACCTGGCTTTTGCATACAGAACTATGCTCATAACCCCGTATGGTCTCTCAGTATACTGGCACACAAATATAACCTAGTAGAAAAGTTTCTACTCATCAGGTATATACAAAGTATAAACAAACAAGACAAAGAAACAGAAAACAAAGGACAGAGGGAAGGGAAAGGATGCAATGTGTAAAAGTCCTACCCTTGCACCCCGATGAACTGAGTTTGACTCCTGGATCTAGTGGTAGAAGGAGAGAACTGACTCCCAAAAGTTAGTTTTCCTTTGACCACACATACTCATACCTTTGAGCTTGAGTACACACACACACACACACACACACACACACACACTATACATAGACACAAATAATAAATAAAATAGTCTTGAAGATTTATGATCATACCTTTTTCTTGAATCTCCAAGGCCTGGCACATTCCCAAAAGGACATGCATAACCTGCAAAAGTGCTTCTAAAATCTGTAACAGTAAAGGGCACAAAACAAACCTGTTAACAGAACTAGATAAGTAATACAAAATTCAATTTTGTATCAAATCAAAATTTGAAGGAGCTCTAGGCATTATCTTGACCAACCCTATCCATTCCTCACAATAGCTGTGCCAGTGGCTAGATGCTGCTAACTTCACAGACATGCTTCTCCTAACCCTGGACCACTGCTGTCTTGCTAGGGTTGTACCCGCTGCTCTGGACCATTTTCCCTTCGTTTTCTCTAAATAGGTCTTTAATCATTTCTTTCCTGGCTAAAAGGGCTTAGTTTTTTTTTTTTTTTCAGTTTACTCTATATGATCTTAATTTCTTCATGATACTATGTCATCTGTCTATCACTGTACAACAGACTACTTTGTCTACATTTCACGTGAAGTGTGGGACTTGGAATATACACATGAATAATCCAGGGTTGCAATAACTCACCCAGACTAATCCACATGCATGGGAGTCTAGACTTCTCTGTGTGAGCCATTAGTTTTTAGTTTGTTTATTTGTTTTTTTGTAAACACTTCACATTGTTGACTATATAAAACATTTAAATTTTCACCACACAAGTTTGTCTTTCTTTTTTCTTTCTACATGTTGTTCTTTTTTTTTTTTTAAAGGTTCATCTTTTTATTGGACATGTTAACAAGAGGCTTAGTCAAAAAGACCAAAGCCCATGTCATCATCAGACTCCTCAGATTCTTCTTTCTTTGCTTCTAATTTCTTCTCCTCAACTGGGGCAGCAGCAGTAGAGGGGGCAGGACCACCTGCTGGTGCAGCTCCAGCTGCAGGAGCAGGTCCACCAGCCCCTATGTTGCAGATGAGGCTCCCAATGTTGACATTGGCCATGGCCTTTGCAAACAGGCCAGGCCGGAAAGGTTCAACATTGACACCAGCTGCTTAATGAGGGCATTGATCTTATCCTTCGTGACTGTCACCTCCTCGTGGTGAAGGATTAAGGCGGAGTAGATGTAGGCGAGCTCAGAGACAGAGGCCATGTTGCAGACTGCTGGCACGGTGCTAGTCACCGGATGAAGTGAGGGCCTCACCCCAACGCAGCCTTAGCTTCCTCGGAAGGACCGAGCACCTTGGCGGCAGCTGAGGAAAAGTCTACTTGTTGTTCTTAAGCTATGAAACTTATACTTATGCAGTTGGTATTTTTAAGATCACTGGACTGGGATGCAAAGTCCAGACAAACAAACAAACAAAAAAGAAACAGATGTGACAAGATTTGTTCATAAAGTAGTCAACATTCCTATATTTTCCTAATACTAATAATACTACTAAAAATGGTAGGGTAAGAAATGGCTCAGTACTTAAGAACATTTTCTGTTCTTGCAGAGAGGAGTTTGCTTTGGCTCAGGGTACCCACATGGCAGTTTACAACTGTAACTCTAGCTCTAGGGGATCGAAAATCCTCTTCTGGTCTCCAATGGTACCAGGCAGGGATGTGTGGTGCACATACATAGATCCAGGTAAGACACTCATAAAATAAAAATAAATGAATCCAGTGGGATGAAAATCATTTATGGGGCTGGAGAGATGGCTCAGAGATTAAGAGCAGTGACTGCTCTTCCAGAGGTCCTGAGTTCAATTCCCAGCAACCACATGGTGGCTCACAGCCATCTGTAATGAGATTTGGTGCCCTCGTCTGTTGTGCAAATATACATGGAAGCAGAATGTTGTATACATAATAAATAAAATCTTTAAAAAAATCATTTATGTTTTGTAAAGTTTATAGGCATAGCCTGACACAGTTTAATTCACTTGTGTCATATACTTTATACTCACAGCCTAGCATAGTTTTATTCAATGTTTTAAATGAGTCTGCATTTTGAATGCAATCCATCACATGCAGTGAGACACAGAATTTTCTACTTGTGGATTGACATTAGTGATCAAAACTTCAGATTTTGGATTGTTTTGTTTTTATTTATTTTTGTTTGTTTGTATCATGGCAGGGTTTCTCTGTATAGCCCTGGCTGTCCTGGAACTTGATCTGTAGACCAGGCTGGCCTCAAACTCAGAGATTCCCCCTGCCTCTGCCTCCCAAGCAATGGGATTAAAAGTGTGCTCGGCCTGGCTTCAGATTTTGGATTCTTTACTAGTGACACTCAATCTGTACTTTTTCTAATTTCACTGTTGGCCATGTTATTTTGGCAAACTTAATTGTTTAACACCTTTAATCCCAGCAGCCAGGAAGCAGAGACAGGCAGTTATCCGTGAATTCAAGACCAGTCCAGGCTACATAGTGACTTCCAGACCAGTCAGAGCTACTTAGAGACCCTGCTTAAAACAAATAACAAAAACAAAAACCCCAAACAACAAAACACCACTGTGATGACTATTCTTGGTTGTCAACTTGACTACACCTAGAATTAACTAAATTCCAAGAGGCTGGATATACCTGTGAGGGATTATTCATAATTAACTCACTTGAAATAGCAACATGCACCTATAAGGACATGGAAGAAGGCAGCTCTTGCTCTCTGCCTGCTTGCCCTCTCTTACTCTCTGGCAAGTCCACTCCTTCATGGCATTAGAGCCTACTTCTTTGGGGTTTGTGGACCTTCTATTGGTAAACAGCCACTGTTAAACTAGCTGGACCACAACTAATATTAGTCACCTAATAAATGCCCATCACATGTCTATTTATTCTATCAGTTCTGTCCCTCTAGAACAGTGGTTCTCAACCTTCCTAATACTGAACCCTTTAATAAGTTCCTCATGTTGTAGTGATCCCCAACTATAAAATTATCTTCATTGCTATTTTATAACTGTAATCTTACTACTGTTATGAACTGTAATGTAAATTTATCTGTGTTTTCTGATGGTCTTAGGTGACCTCTGTGAAATGGTCATTCTACTCCACAGGGGTCATGACCCATAGGTTGAGAACCACTGCTTTAGAGACTCCTAACTAATTCAGACTTTGGTACCAGGAGTGGTTCTAAAACAACAGAAGTATAAGGGTGAATGTTTTTAAGTATCTGGAATAGGCTTTCCAACTTGCTGACATCTACAGTTACTGAAGCCTCTCCTAGAAGCTTGGAGTATTGAAAGCTCACGGTGTGGATTATATTACAAACTGAAGGAGACAAATGCATCTATCTGATTATCCTGATTCACCAATTGTGAGAGGCAATGACTTGGTGACTCTGTATGTAAAACTTTTGACAGTTTGTGGGAAAGTAAGGAAAATGGTGACACCAATTGGTTGTTCCCAGCAACTCTAGATAAACTGGCAAAGAAAAAGAATGAGCTCTGAGGTAAAATCAACCAACTTTTAGCATCTCAGAATAGTGAAGGAAAACAATGAATGCAGTGATGAAATTGACCAGCTCCAGATGCCCATTTAACAGTCTAAAGGTGTCTAAGTGTGCTCAGGAAGAGAATCCTCCACAGAGCTCAAGCTGCTCTGTGGAAAATCAAACTGAAGCCTTCATTATAAAGTTGGCATAATTACAACAAAATTAAAGCCCCAGCCTCGGAAGGTGCTGGCAGTTAAAGTAAGGGCATTAATTGGTAAAGAATGGGGCCCTGTATCTCAGGATGGAGATGCGTGGGAGGATCCTATTGAAGCTGAGAACTTGAACCCTCAGATTCTCAAGGGTTCATCTCACCTGAGGAAGTAGTCTCTCTACTTCAGCAGATGTATCCCCACCCCCTGAAATACACCCTTTCCCACCTTTGACTGAGGAAATTGATCCTTTACTGTCTGCTAAACCAGCAGTGACTTTGTCAGATGGAGATGGCAGGCAAATAATACTGATGTCCCTCAGGGCTCACTTACAGTTGCCTCTAGATTATAACCAGACTTGAGGCTAAGCAGGTTCCTCGAGGGGAGTTAAAGTGCAGTCCACAAAGAAGTGTGCTATACTGCTACTAATAAAGAGTTTGCTAACACATTCAAGCACAAGTCTGGGAAATGTTAGGTCTCAGGTAGTCCCACAGCCACTCCAAATATCCAGAAATGAGCATAAATCGGACAATAGGAGAATTTCTGAAGGTTAGATAAAAGCTAGCATTTCTCAGGAACTTGTGAAATTGGTTCCCATCTGTCAAAAGGAGTCATTTCCTTTACTTCTGGTAGAAGCGGCCTACGGCTACCTCTGGTGCCTATCACCATGTCAAAGTCCATGCTGCCCTCCAGGCTCCCTCAGTGTCACAAGTCCATGCTAGTAGCATCCTTAACACCTCCTTTTCTACCGGAAATTCCCTACAGCTCTAGGGCTTTTCTCCCCACAGCTACTCTTTCTTCTTATAACCCTGCTATTCTCATTATGCTCTCTCCATTCTCTATTCTCTGTTACTCTCCACTCTCTCACAGTCCTGGATGAGTACACCTACTCGCTCTTACTCTCTAACTCTCTTTTGCTATGCTCTATTCTCTATCTCTCCCCTTCTTTAATAGGGGATGTGTGGGAATGGATTTTAAGTGTGAGGGATAATGATGGAAGGAACATAAACTGGATCAGGCTGCACTTACTGATATGGACCTTCTGAGTGGGGATTCTAGGTTTAATATGGAAGATTGCACAGCTAAAAAAGAATCAAAAGTTTGTTGAATAGTCTCCTGAAGCATTTGTCAAAGGAGTTGGGGATGTCTGACATCTGGTGGCTTAAGTGCTGATAAAGGGATTTGAAAGCTCAGGGAAATTGCAAGAGTGGGTACACTGTGTGAAACCTAATCCTCTACAATGGGAAGGCCCAGAAGACAGGCCCTTCCCTAATCCTGTAAGATTCATATGGTGAGAACTATGATCACTAAAGGCAAGGTGATCATAGTTATTATAATGGGCATGTAATAAGTTCTATTGCTGTGAAGAGACACCATGACCACAGAAACTCTTATGAAACATTGAATTGGGGATTGCTTACAGTTTCAGAGGCTTAGACCATTATCATCAAGGCAGGTAGCAAGATAGCAGGCATGGTGCTGGAGAAGTAGTTGAGAGTTACCTCCTGATCCACAGGCAGAGTGGGGGGGGGGGGACCTGACATAGGTTTTTGAAACCTCAAAGCTCACTCCCAGTGACACACTTCTTCCAAATAAGGCCAGTTTCCTAACCCTTCTTAAACAGTGCCACTCCCTGATGACTAAGCATTCAAATATATGAGCCTAAGGGGGTCATTCTTACTCCAATCACCATAGGCACTATAGACAAAGCAATGTCCATAAGGCCTAGCTTGCAATGGGCAAAATGAATTTTATGGTGGCATGACTCCTATGGACCTTTGGTGCTGGCTAATTGATCATGGTGTTTCCAGGATGAAATAGATAAAAAGCCTGCTATATTTTTGTTTGATCTGGATAAGCAGAAGAATTCTCAAACAAACTCACAATATTGCTCTCTCTGTTCCCCAAATTCTGAGGCCTCTAGTTTCCAGGTTTTAAAAACTGATTTTCTAAATGATAAGTCTGATTATGAACGTGGTTGATTCAGGCGGTGGTGGTGCACACCTTAAATCCCAGCACTCAGGAGGCAGAGACAGGTGGATCCCCGGCACTTGACTAGCCAGTCTAGCTCAAATAGTGAGCTTCAGTTCAGTGAGAGACCCTGTTTCAAAAAGGTGGAAAGGGCTGGAGATGCGGCTTAGTGGTAAAGTGTTTGCCTGGGAAGTACATGGCCTTGGGGTAAGTTCCCAGCATCAGAACAGACAGACAGAAGTGGGGGGAGAAGGGGACATTTTATGCACAGGTGCGCAGAGCTCAAGAGAAAAACACCCGATGTCCTCCTTTGGCCTCTGCATGTATGTACACATGTGTGTAACAACACATATACATACATACACAAATAGTACCCAAAAAAACCCCAACACAACCCAATCATGATTCCCACCCACTTTCTGTTATTCTGAGGTTTTCAATTAGCATCCAGGCAGGACAGTCATCTGATACTTACCTCATCCCTCAGGGAGGAGTCCCTGTAAGCCACATCAGACAGCAAAGTGACCAGACAGAAGCTGAAGCTCTCTGCAACTGGGAGGTTCCCTGGAAGACACAAAGCACCAAAGACATTAAATACCAGACACACAGCCAGCCAAAGGACCAGCTTAAATGAGGTAAGAAAGCAGATGTGGTGGCTCAAGCCTGGAATCCCAACACTTAGGCAGCAAACAGGAACACCAGAAGTTCAAAGCTATTCTCATCACACAGGGAATTTGAGGCCTGGCTGGGATACATGAGACCTCAAAAAACAAACACACAACAAAAAAAAGAGCTAAAAGAAGGCAAGGGTTTGGTTTTCAGAGCTTCAGTTCTGTCCGTTTATCATAGACTTTTGCAATAATTTTCAGCTGTTTTTAATTACACACATGTGTGGGGGGGGGAGTGACCCAGCATATGTGTAGAGGTCAGAGGACAACTTGTAGGGTCAATTCTTTCCTTTCATCATGTGGGTCCCAGGGAACGAACTCATGGTGACAGACTATGATCTTGAATTCTTGTGTTTTATGAGTATGCATGTGCCACAGCATTCCTGTGGTGGTTACAAGATAATCTCAGGTGTGGGTCTTTACCTTTCACCCTGTTTACATTCTTTTTTGTTTGTGCTGTGCTACGTATTCCAGCTAGCCCGAAAGCTTCCATGGATTCTCCTGTCTCTAGCTCCTGCCTTGCTGCAGGAGTGGTTGGATTTCTGGGACCTGACTGACCAAATCCAGCTTTTACATTGATTCTACTGTCTGAACTTAGGACATCAGGCTTGTGTGGTCACCTCCTTGGTCCAACCTTGAACATACGATCTTCCTGCCTCTACCTCCTAAATGTTGGGTTACAGATTTGGTAATGGATTATTGGTAATGGATCATTAGTTTTATGCCTTGTTCATATGGTGCTGGAGATCAAACCCAGGGCCCGAAGCATGCTGGAGGCAAGCATTCTAACAAGTGAGCTATATCTTCAACCCAAAAATAAATCTAAATGGAGTATAAGCAATGGTACAGGAACAGTAACCATCAAATACATATTAATATCACTTTAACAGAATGAAACAGACACAGGTATATGTGCATATTGCATTGGAGATTGCACCAAGAGTTTCAGAGCTGCACTCTTGACTACTGAACCACATACCAGGCATGCCCATAAACTTTTAAGTCCTTCTCAGACTAAGCCTAATAGCAGGGAAATTCTTCAAAGCAATTAAAGCTGGAAAGAGCACCTCATTCAAAACACCAAAAATTACACATGTGCAGCATTTCTGTCCAGTGTACCTTCAGATGTTAGAACCACCTCCATTGTTCCAACCATGGTTATCATGTGCTATCATGAATCATGTAATCAATCTTAATTCTGGATCAAAGACATAAGAGTACCCACTTTTTCTAAGCCAGGCAGTGGTGGTGCACACCTTTAATCCCAGCACTTGGGAGGCAGAGGCAGGCAGATAACTGAGTTGGAGGCCAGCCAGGCTACACAGAGAAACCCTGTTTTGAAAAACAACAACAACAAAGACTACCTATTTTTAATGGATTTTTTAAAAATTTATTTGTTTATTATGTATATGGTGTTCTGCCTGCATGTGTCCTTGCACTCCAGAAGAGGGCACCAGATCTCATTATGGATGGTGGGAGCCACCATGTATGTGGTTGCTGGGAATTGAACTCAGGACCTCTGGAAGAGCAGCCAGTGCTCTTAACCTCTGAGCCATCTCTCCAAGCCCATGGATATTCTTAGTATATGGCAGAAGATTATCAGAATTCTATTAGAATTTTAAAACACCACCTAGGTAGCTCTGAAACCTGTGTGTGCATCAAAATCATTTTGGGGCTTATAGCAGTTTAGACTGTTCACTTTGGGAACCACTATTCTAGATTTTTAAAGCATAAGTTATACTGTTTTTCAAAAAAAAAAAAAAAAAAAAAAAAAAAAAGGGGGGCAGCAGGCAGCATGAAGACCTAAGTTTGATCTGCAGCAACCATATGAAAAAGTAGGCAATCAGCACACATTTGCAGTCCCAGTGCCAGCTAGGCAGAGACAAAAAAACAGAAGGATCTTTGGGGCTTGCTAGCCAGCCAGCCTACTTTACTTGATGAGTTCCAGGACGATGAGAGCCCTCCTATCAACACTCTCTCTCTTGGTGATAAAGCACATATTTAGCATGCATGAGGCCCTGGGTTCAATCCCCAGTTCATACACAAAATCTATAAATTTATATATTTTAACAGTATTTCAAACATGTCAAAACTTTCAAACATGTCAAAACTTAAATAACATGAATCTGTGATTATAAAAGTGATTTTCGTTTAAAAGTTTTATTTATGACCCCTAATTATATGTCTATGTCTGTGCACATTAGTGCCGTTGCTGAGGAGTTCAGCGGGTGGAGGAGGAGGAAGGGGAAAAGAAAGAAGAGGAGATGATGATGGTGATTGCTAGGTCTCAAAGAAACCAGGGCTAGAGAGATGACTCAGCAGTTAAGAGTGCAGCCTGCTTTTGCAGCGGACTCAAGTTTTCCTCCAAGCACCAAGCAAGCTCACAGTGGTTCCAGGAGATCCGACACTCTCTTGTGGACTCTGAGGGCACCACACTCACATGTAAGTACATACCCACACAGACACATCCATATACATATTATTATGTTATATATAATTACATAATTTCATATAGTTATTTATTTCATATATAATAAAATATATATAATTAAAAATAATTTTTGCCAGGTGGTGGTGGTACACACCTTTAATCCCAGCACTTGGGAGGCAGAGGCAGGCGGATCTCTGTGAGTTCGAGGCCAGCCTGATCTACAGAGTGAGTTCCAGGACAGCCTCCAAAGACACACTGAGAAACCCTGTCTCGAAAAACCTAAATCAAATAAACAAATAAGTAAAGGAACACCAATAGCTTCTGTTATTAGGTAATAGCTGTACATATAGACTTCTGTTAATTATGGCCCTTTGAATTGTGGAAAATCATAATCTGAGGAGTCAGCTCTGGGCATGGTGGGCAACTAAAAGGCTGAAAACCACACATCAGAAGGCGCATAGGCCAAATCAGGATGTTTGTGACAACAGCAAAATTTCTTTGGCAAAGTGAGCCTCCTTAACAAGTTAGGGCAGCGTCACCTAATGAGAAAAAAACAATGTCTTCACTATAGACACCAACCCACCATGATACATCCAAAGGTTTTATATAAAACACTACATAACTAGATTCCAAAGAAACTTCAGTTTTATGAATCAGGAACCCTAAAACGCTGGAGGTGTTCCAAGTGGATTTGGGAACTTCAGGGTATCAGTACACACAAACATCAATGTCGTAGCTAACACAAACTTGGCACACAGTGGGTCTATAGGACTATTTCACAAGGAAGGATGGAAGGAAGGAAGAAAGGAAGGAAGGAAGGAAGGGAAGGAAGGAAGGAAAAGGAGGGCAGCAGAGAAAATGTGGGACCAAGGCTGTGACTTTCCCTTTGACACTCCTAACCCCCAAAATCCAAAACAAAATACCAGTTAAAAACGAAATGCATATGAATTCATGCCCTTTCTTTCTTTCCTTTCTTTCTTTCTTGCTCCTCCTCCTCCTCCTTCTCTCTCTCTCTCTCTCTCTCTCTCTCTCTCTCTCTATTTTTTAGAGTCAGAGTTTCTCTCTGTAGCCATGGCTGTTCTGGAATTCATTCTGTAGACCAGACTGGCCTCGAACTCAGAGATCTGCTTGCCTCTGCTGGGATTAAAGGCATGTATCACCATGTACACCATAATGTTTTAAAGTAGGAGATGAAGTGAAACTTAAAAGCAACAAAGTTGATAAAGCTATTTCTAGTGAGCAATTGTGGTTATATCCTCAGTGTCCATCTTACCCTTGGAACAGCAGCATTGGAATGTGGAGAACTAACCTTTCTCTAGAAATGAATCTATTAGCTCAAGGGCAAAATGGTTGGTTTGGGGATGGACAATGCAGAGACTCTACTGTAGCCAATGACAAACAAGAATGAAAGTTTCTGAGTCTCAAAAGAATGAGCTCATGCCCAGAAGAGTGCAATGGGAAGCTGCAGGCTGAGCCACTTTCCCCTTCACCCACAGGTCCGGGGTAGCAGTGTGAGGGCAGTGAAGTTGTTCCACATCTGCCAGGACCAGCCAGAAGCTGCCTAATGTCTATGTTTGCTTGTTTTTTGCATTCAGGATAAACATACGAAATTACCTCTGCCTTTCCGAGCTGTGCTTTCTTCAACCCAGTACACTTTTGGAAGACCTCTGAGAAGTCGAAGAAGATAAGGAACAACACAGTCTTTATGCTAAAAGAACAAACAAAAAATGTATTTAGTAAGTGACTCATAGGCTTTTTCACATAGATTAAGCTACGAAAAGCTAAGAATCTCAGAATCTCTAGGGATAATGTAAAGCAGAAGTTCACATGGATGGCATCACCCTTCCTATTTTTTTCTTTCTTTTTTTTTCAAGACAGGATTTCTCTCTGTAACAGCCCTGGCTGTCCTGGAACTCACTCTGTAGACCAGGCTGTCCTGGAACTCACATAGATCCACCTGCCTCTGCCTTCTGAGTGCTGAGCCTGGCCTACCCTTTCTATTTCTATATATCATAGTCCAGAGGATGTCACAGTCTATTCCACAGGAACTCAAACATGCCTACGGTATATAATGTGCAGCCTAGTGGACTTCTCTGGGGGACAGGAGCTTATACGTGCCTCTTCAGAAGGCACTCAAATGCAAGTACTTAAGTCTGCCTTCAATAAGAGATTGCCCAAAACCACCACGGATCAAGATCCTAAGATGAGATTCTTGGGACCAACATGACACTCACAGCCTGAGCTTCTGGACTTGCTGTTTTTCTTACTCCTTGTCCTCTTCCCTCTACTTCTGTTAAATTCTGTGCTTTATGTCCCTTTAGTCCTTGAAAGCTGAGCATCAGACTTCAATGGCTAACAGTAGCCCAATGAAAGAAACTGCTTTTCTTTTCTTTCTTTCTTTTCTTTCTTTCTTTCTTTCTTTCTTTCTTTCTTTCTTTCTTTCTTTCTTTCTTTCTTTTTTTTAAGACAGGTGTCACTATTTAGCTCTAGATAGCCTGGGATGCTATGTAGACCAGGCTGGGCTTGAACTAAGAGAGATTCACTTGCCTCTTCCTCCCAAGTGCTGGGATCACAAATGGGAACCACCACCCTAGTGTGGTATCCAGCTTTGAAGCATCTCCATCTGATGAACCACCACCCTAGTGTGGTACCCAGCTTTGAAGCATCTCTATCTAATGATTACTCCAAGCTTGGTCTAAATGCAGATTTATAAGCAAAAAGGTAGTGGTTAGAACATCTGTCTAGGACCATAAGCACAAAACTCCAAAGGGCTGCACTGCACTGCCATCTGAAGAAGAGCTTTGGTTCCTCCCTATATAATGTGGGGGCTTTAGTAATACATGGTGAATAAACTACTCTGGCCACAACTGTTGCTTTGATAGCTCAGGAGAGACATGAAGGCAGCCAATACATCCTGGACAGAGTCAAGCAAAATAAACAGGAAGTGAACCAAGATAAAGACATGGCCCCTTGACCTTCTCAGGGTCTAATAAAGTATGCTGGGCTCCATCTGTATCCAAGAGTCCAAAAGTGGAACTGGCAGTACAGCTAAATTGTCATGTGCCATCTGACACCTGCTCAGTCCTTATGTAGAAACCAAACCACATGAAAGTTTGTACTTACTTCTTCCTTTCCATCTTAGAAAAGTCAGGTAGATGTTTGGAATTTACAAGTAACTCTATCAAGCAATGCATATGTCAAAAATATTTTAAAGTAATACATATTTGAATAGCAATAGTGTAGAAATTCTTTTCTGCCCTCTACAACTCATTTTATACTTAATACAAGTTGGCAAATAGAAAACTAGAATGGCTGAGGGTGCAGCTGAATGGTACAACACTTGCCTAGCATGTGCAAGGCCCAGAGTTCAGGGACAAATACTCAATGAAAATGTGGCTCTGCTTCCTCTTTGGGATTGCTGGCTGCATTGGTCCAGAAGGGTGAAGGGAGCAAAAACAGGGAACAGGGTTAGGACAGACAGCTGTGGGTACAATGCAAAAAGCCCTCTGGGAGACAGACTTTAGTGAATCAGCTCAGCTTTATTCCAGAGCATAAGGAATAAGGAATATACATGACTGTGGAGCCTGCGGACAAACCCTAGTCTGCATTAAGAGCCATGCTCCTATCACAAGGCTTCATATGTGGCAGTAGGGTTCTATAGCAGAGTTCCTAACACAAGTCTTCTAGCAGTAATCTGTGCCAAGGGTCAAGCTAATGATAAATCAGGCATCTGGCTTAGAGACAGCTTTCAGATAAATTCAGTCTTCCAGGCCCAGGGGCATTTTACAGACAAGGGCAGGTAGAGGCAGGAAGTTTTGATGGGGAGGGAGGAAGTTTCCAGGTTGCCAAGTTTCTGGGAAAAGCTGCCAGGCCATAACAGATTGCAACCTCAACCAGCCAGCAAGGTCTTCTAACAGAAAAATACAAACAGGTTCATAAGCATGCGTGAAATCCCAGCAGTGGAAAAACAGACCCTACCATGTTCAAGGCCAGCCTGATCTACATAGCTAGGAAAGTCTTTACTAACAAACTAAGCCAGGGATATACAAGACTCTGTTTCATAAAACAAAATAAATAATAAATAATATTTATCAGAGTATAATCTCTAGGGAGTACAAACTAATGGTTTTAGATGAATATTCATTACATAACATTATTTTCCTAACAGAACAATTAAACTTAGAATTCCAAAAATAGTATCTAGAGATGATAAACAACATATAAATGAATTGCAATTGGTATCCAATGATCAAGAATTTACTTCAGCCAGCATTGGTAATTATTTTTATTTTATTTTTTTAAGATTTATTTATTTATTATGTATACAGTGTCTGTCTGTATGTGTCCCTGCAGACCAGAAGAGGGCACCAGATCTAGTTTTGGATGGTTGTGAGCCATCATGTGGTTGCTGGGAAATGAACTCAGAACCTTTGGAAGAGCAGCCAGTGCTCTTAACCTCTGAGCCATCTCTCCAGCCCCCAGCATTGGTAATTATTAAAAAAAAGTGAAGCAACAATATACAATTTTCCATTGTAGCAAGAAGACTGGGGTATAATCTCTCCCAAAATATTATTAGCATGTATTAAAATTTTATTTCTATTCAGTTTTGATAAATATGATCTTATATGATTGATGAACTATGACTGAGGAACATTTTACCTGCTACTAAAAAGCAAGCCTACTTTGTAAAATATGCAATTATATCTCAAAAGAATTTTATCTTAGTTATACTCCCAAATTTCAAAAAAGTTTAAAACCAAAGCTGGGCAGTGGTGGTGAATGCCTTTAATCCCAGCACTTGGGAGGCAGAGGCAGGTGGATCTCTGTGAGTTTGAAACAACCCTGGTCTACAAGGCTACACAGAGAAACACCGTCTTGAGAAAAACAAAACAAACAAAAAAAGTTTAAAACCTTTATTATTTATTTTACAACACATTTTAAAAGAAACAGTAAGTTGGCTGGGCAGTGGCACATGCCTTTAATCTCAGTACTTGAGAGGCAGAGGCAGGTGTATCTTTGCAAGTTTGAGGCAGCCTGGGCTACACAGTCAAACCCAGGACCACCAGGCTATATAGAGATCCTACCTCGAGCTAAAAAAATAAACAATCTGATAAGTTTCCTAGGTGCTCCATGCCACTGTCCTATTTACCTTGTCTCGCTCCTCCCCTCATCACTTTGACTAGGTTAGAAGCACACTTCTAGTGCTGTAGGACTAGGCAAATACACAGAATACAGTGCAGATTCTCATTACACACCCTTCACACAGAGGAAACATAAACTTAGTAAAGACTCACCTGAAGATCAGATTCAATGAGAAAAATGCCCAACGCAATCACTGCATCTCTCCGTCTTTCATCGAGTTGGAAGATTCCATGGAAATCTACTGGGCACATGCAAAGCAGCTTTTGGACCTAGAAATGAGATTTTAAAGCAAAAGACAAGAGGCTGAAGGGATGGCACCTATACACATATGTACAGAAACTTAAAAATAATAAAAATAAGTCTTGTTAGAAAACAAAATGCAGGGCTGGAGAAAGAGCTCCATGGTAAAAAGCACTTATTGTTCTTGAAGAGGACCTGGGTTAGGTTTCCCAGCATCCACATGGTTGCTCAGAACTGTCTCTAGGTCTAGTTCCAGGGATCTGAAGCCTCTTCTGTATGTATGTGACATGGTGCACCTGCTTGAGAACACACACACACACACACACACACACACACACTCAGATGAACAAATAAGCAAACACACAGCATCCAAAACTAGAAGGTCACATTTGGAGGAAAAAAAAAAAACCAACCCAACCTGTAAAAGTCTACATAACCAGTAAGTCACTGCTTTATTTCACTTAAAACACCTTACTGGTATGCATCTGATAGAGGGTTAGTATTTAAAATACACAAAGAACTAAATAAATTTAAACATCAAGAAAACAAATTATCCAATTAAAAACTGGGGCATGGAATTAAAGAGTTCTCAAAAGAAAACACACAAATATCTGATAAGTGTTTTAAATGTTCAACATTTTTTCCCCCTTTTTGGTTTTTTGAGACAGGGTTTCACAGTGTAGCTCTGGCTGTCCTGGAAATCACTGCCTGCTTCTGCCTCCTGTGCAGGGATCAAAGGCATGTGCCACCACTGCCCAGCTTAATGTTCAACATCTTTACTGATCAAGATAATGCAAATTAAAACTACTTTTATATTTCATCTTACCCCAGTCTGAATAGCTAATATAAAAAAAAAAACCCAAATAACAATAAACACTGGCATGGGCATGGGAAAGGAGACCACTCTTTACTACTGGTGGGAGTAGACTGCTGTAAACTTGAGCTGCTTAGTATTCTCAACTTAACAAAACCCACAATCATCTGGTTGGAAAAAACTTCAGTCTCTAATAGGATGGATTATAGGCAGTCTGATGGGCATTCCTTGATTGTCGATTGATATGGGAGGGCCCAGTCCACTGTGAGCCACCCCAGGCAGATGGTCCTGGGAGGTATAAGAATGGTAATGAAGCAGGGGAGTGGTGGCATACACCTTTAAACCCAGCACTTGGGAGGCTGAGGCAGGCCCATCTCTGTATGAGGCCAGCCTGGTCTATAGAGTCAGTTCCAGGACAGCCAGGGCTACACAGAGAAACTGTGTCTCAGGAAAAAAAAAAGGAAAGTCATATGATAACATTACTATAGAAGCTTCCTAAAATACACACAGGTACACACAAATGTGCACACACTAAAAGAGTTTAAATGAAGTTACCTCACAACGGGAGGACAATGCCTCTCCCAAACATCAAAAATTATCAAATAAAAAGCACAGTGCCAGCCAGGCAGTGGTGGCACACACCTTTAGTCCCAGCACTCGTAGGACTCGGGAGGCAGAGGCAGGCGGATCTCTGTGAGTTCGAGACCAGCCTGGTCTACAAGAGCTAGTTCCAGGACAGCCTCCAAAGCCACAGAGAAACCCTGCCTCGAAAACCGCCCCCCCCCTAAAAAAGTTCAGTGACAGGGATGGGATCCTTCCTTTGGAGTTGTTGGTCTTTGGGGTTTCACATACCTCCAGAACTTGATGGTAAGACCCTACTGCTGAAGACACACATATATGAGTCATTGAACATGGAAAACTCCAACTGGCACCATCCTAAAAGCTTCATCCCTACTGGCTAGCTTTCATAGTGCTAGAAGGTGCTATGTATACTACTGGAGGAGAAAAGTAATCATCAAATTTATGTAGCCATCAGCCCTTTGAGCTACAACAGATGACCTGGCAAGATATGGCCACCGGTGCAATAGCGGCACAAATATTAGGGAAAATAACCAACTACTTTCTTATTGGATTTAAGGCCCACATTCCACAAGATAGAACCCATGCTCACACTGTTACCAGGGCAAGAACCTGTGGCTAGAGAGGCCATATGCTCTAGTGGAGAACTTCTATCATTCTGTAAATGGACATAGTATTAAAAGACAACTCCTAATGGCTTATCATTGTACACACAGATAAGTACATTTTTCAACCAAAACCAGAGAAGCTTGTTTTTGCAGTAGTGATAAATGGAGAGACTCACAACTGGTCAAGGAATAGACAAACAGATAGCAGAGTGATCAGTCTAAATGAGATATCTATATCACATGCCTCCTCACAAGGTTCTGAAATGGTTGCAGAAGAGGACAGAGAGCTGGTAAGAACTGGAGGCAGTAGAGGACTACATAGAGATGTGAATTAGTAGCAGTTGTGTGGGATGCTTAGATCCGTGGAGATCAAGCCAGATGAAACTCTCCAGATGGGTGGGTGAGGGAGGTAGTCAGAGTCCTATCCCTGTAAGAGGAGCTACTGCCAACTGCAGCTTCTCAGGGAGGGGTCATTTTCTTTCAGGCTGAGAGGCTACTCTTGCTCTTATAGATGTCCACACCTAAGCACAAAGAGGCAGCACTAAGTGAGCTCAGTGGATTTAAACAAACAAACTAAACCCCATGTGAACGTGGGAGGGAATAGTAGTGTGGCGTAAGAAAGAAATCAGGAGGGAGGGAACTGGGGTAGACTTAACCAAAATACAAGCATGCATGAAATTCACACACAATAAGAAAGCCATGGGCTGAAATGTAGATTCATTGGGATAGTGCTTGTCTAGCATGCACAAGGCCATGGGTTCAAGCCCCAGCACCATATAAACCAGGCATGGTGTTGTATGCCTATAATCCTAGCGCTGGGCGGTAGATAGAGAATCAAAAGTTCAAGGTCACCCTCTGCAGGGAATGAGTCCTGAATGAAGAGTGCTATTTGATTTGAGCATAGCCACATCAAGGATGCCAATGCCTAAGACCCATGGGAAACAGCAAGGACTTCCCCAGGCAGGCTCGGGGAATTGGCAAAGCCTTTCCCTACTATGTGTGCAGATGTGTGCAGAAAATGTTACCACAGCTTTCTCCTCCTAGAGCAATGGTTGCAACCTTCCTAACACCGTGGGCCCTTTCACACAGTTCCTCATGTTGTAGTGACCCCCCAACCATGAAATTATTTCATTGTTCCTTCATAACTGTAATCTTGCTGCTGTTATGAATCATAATGTAAATATCTGATATTCAGGATCTGTGATCTGCAAGCTCCAAAGAGGTCGTGACTCACAGGCTGAGAACCAATGTTCATGACCTGAAGACAGCTCTGGCCTAGATTAGCTAAACCTGTCTCTGTTCAGCTGTGTATAATAACTCATCTCTTTATCTGTATGCAATAACCTTTGCCTTATTGTTTATCTGTATGCAATAACCCCACTTCCATGTTCAACTATGTACAAGAAACACTGTGAGTTTTCAGGTTGCGTGGCCACTCATGAGAGTGAGCATAGCCCACCAGATTGCATTTTTCAGTATTTGACATCTTTGGGTCTGTCCTTTCATCATTCCCTGGTCAACCCTAGTAAGGTGCCAAGACGTGCAAGGATGAAGAAACCCTTGGGTACATAGTCATGTTGCGACTGTTTCAATCAAACCAAAATAAATCATAAGGAGAAGGTGCATGCCTATAACTCCAGAACTTATGAGGCAGAAGCATAAAGACAGAATGTTCCAGGGTAGCCTGGGCTACAAAGTAGCATTGTCTAAAAAAAATGGCATACACAGAACATTTCCACCTACTGAAATAATCAGCATATGCCCCTACAGCATACAAAATCTGAGGAACATGGGCTGAGGGTAAAATGCTCAAGAAAGCCAGGGGGTGTTGAAGCACACCTTTATCCCCAGAGACAGGTGGATCTCTGAGTTCAAGGCCAAGCTGGTCTACAGAGCAAATTCCAGGACAGCCAAGCCTAATACACAGAGAAACCCTGTATCCAAAAAAAAAAAAAAAGGAAAAAGGAAAAAGGAAAACAAATGCTGAAGAGAGCAGGTATGGTTCAGTATTAAAGCCTGCGCTCTGAGTCAGGGCAGGCTGCAATCCCCAGTACCATGGTGCCCTCAGCACGATGCCTACTCCTACCTGAGTTGCTTTTGTTTTGTTCTTTGGTTTTCTTTCTTTCTTTTTTTTCTTTTGGTTTTTCGAGACAAGGTTTCTCTGTGGCTTTGGACGCTATCCTTGAACTAGCTCTTGTAGACCAGGCTGGTCTTGAACTCACAGAGATCCCCCTGCCTCTGCCCCCGGAGTGCTAAGAGTGCTGGGACTAAAGGCGTTCGCCACCACTGCCTGGCTGTTCTTTGGTTTTCAGGACAGGATTTCTCTGTGTAACCTTGGCTATCCTGGGACTCACTCTATAGAGCAGGCTGGCCTCGAAATCACAGATCTACCTGCCTCTGCCTCCTAAGTGCTAGGAATAAAGGCATGCACCACCACCACCTGGCTTTTGTGGCATGCTCTTATACCATGTGGCAATTACTGTTTGATATCTGCCCTGAAAACGCATTAATAAATTAAAACTGTAATCTATTTAGAGAAAACAAATGGCTCTTGTTAGCTTAGATTTAAACAGGCAAATACAAAATGGTGACACCCCATCTTTATCCCCAACATACAAAGACACACACATACACCTCACAAGAAGTACCATTACTAATTTTCCTCCTAGTAATAACTGCAAATGAATAATTATAAACTCAGGCAAAGATTATGTAGGTATGTTTTTATGGGAAAACTGGAAATGATCTAAAATAGTCAGTATTAGTATGTAGGAAGTTAAGGCCTACCAGGCCAAGAGATGAGCCAGCCTTGAGCCTGACTGGTGCTGTCAGAGGTCCTGATCATGCCTGGCCAATGGAGGGGGAGGCATGTGATGTCAATGGATTGGAACACCTGGGTGCTGAGAGGGTATAAGGTTCCCATCATTGCTAAATAAATGAATCTACTATTTATCCTTTCACCTGACTCCTGGTATCTGTGTCATTGACACCACGCCCTCCCCCAAGGAAGCTATTAGGACCCAGAAACTTTAGTAGAAAAGCAACAAT